GCCGGCCGCCCGCCGGGCCGGGCTGAACGCGGGGCCGGCAGCCGGGAGCCGGGCCTGCGGAACGCGGGGCCGGGGCCGGGCGGGCAAGCGGGGCGGGAAGTGACACGTTGTTCCCTGGCGCCGCCGCCCCGGGAGGGAGGAGCTCGGGCCGGCGCCGGGCTCCGGGCCCCGGGCCCCAGGCCCAGGCCTAGGCCCGGCCCGTCACATGCTCTCCGCGCCCGGGCCGGCCGGCCGGGCCTCTCCCTCCCCCACTCCCCGCTCCCCCTTCTTCTCCGACATGGGTCGGGGCTCAGCCTCTCCCGGGTGCGAGCCCGGCGGCCCCCTCCCCCAGCCTCTGCTCCGTAAGAGGAAGCCTTCCTATTTAGCACCTACTGTGTTCGGGCACCGCGGGCCCCCTCCCCCCGAAGAAGCATTGTCTATATAGCGCCTACTGTGTGCCGGCATTGGGGCCCTCCCCCCATCTTTGCTCTGTAAGATCAAGCACTGCCTGCTCAGCCCCCACTGTGTGTGCCAGGCACTTGGGGGCCCCCTTCCCCTCCCTCTTCGCTGTTTAAGACGACGCCTTTCTTTTTAGCACCTACTGTGTTTCAGGCACGGGACCCTACCCCCCAATCTTTGCTCTGTAAGGTCAAGCACTGCCTGTTCAGCCCTCACTCTGTGCCAGGCACTAGGGCCCCTTCTTTCTTGTGTTCTGTAAGGAGCCTTTTCTATTTAGCACCTACTATGTGCCAGGCACTGGGGCCCTACCTCCCTCTTCTTTGCACTGTAAGATTAAGCACTGCCTGTTCAGCTCCAGCTATGTGCCAGGCACTTGGGGGCCCCTTTCCCCCTCCCTCCTCTCTGCTCTGTAAGAAGAAGCCTTCTTATTTAGCACCTACTGTGTACCAGGCACTGCAGCCCTGTCTCTCTCCTGTCCTCTTTGCTCTGTAAGAGGAAGGTTGTCTATTTAGGATCTCCTGTATGCTAGGCACTGGGGCCCTCTCCCCATCTTCGTTGCTCTGTAAGACCAAGCACTGCCTTTTCAGTCCCTACTGTGTGCTAGACATTCCTCCCCCACATCTTTGTAAGAGGAAGCATTTCCTATTTAGCACCTAGTGTGCCAGTCACTTCGAATTCCTGATCTCTCCCCCCACCCCCATTCTCTTTGCTCTTCCCCTTTTCCTAGGACTAGCATGTCCTCAGGGCTTCTCCCTGGAAGAGCCTCCTTCCCTCCCTGGCCTGGCCTCAGGGCCTTCCCTTCGGGCTCTCTCCCTCCAGTCCCCCAAAGTAGGGGCCAGTGTCGGTTCTGGTTCTGGGCCCTAATCCTCTTCCCCGCCGTCCCCCCACCCTCTGCATGCCTCAGGTCCAGGATACCCACCCACTCAATTCAGGCCCTCACTGGGCCCCAGCTGTCTTCTCTGAAGTCTTCCTCTGGCACTTTGTCCTTCACATGCTTTCTTAGGCAAAAATCATTTGTCTTGGTGTGTCTCTTGCTGTCCCCTGGGGGGGGGGGTCCTTCCTTTTTTGTTCCTGGAGCTTGGTGCCAGGGAGACCTGGAATTTCTGGTCTGGTTGGTCTTTGGCTCCTGGAGCCAGGTTGATTCCCCCTCCCCTTCTAATCCTAGGCCCCTCGGATGCCCAGAACCTGTAGGCCACAGCGTGGATTTGTTGTTTCCCGAGGGGGTGAGTGAAGGGCAGTTGGGGCTGGGCTCCTGGCCTGATGTGGGCTAGAAACCTGTGAAGGATTGGTAGGGACAGAGTGATTGTTGGCGTCTGAGAGCTTCAAGGCCTTAGACTCACTCCCTGGGGCCTCTCTTTGAACATCCCCCCTCTCTTCACAGGTGCTGGGGGGACCCTGATGTGGCACCAAATGAAATGAACAAAGCTCCACAGCCCACAGGCCCCCCACCTGCCCCGTCCCCTGGACTCCCCCAGGTAATGGGGGAGTATAGAGGAAGGCTGGGACCAGAACTGAGCTGGGGGAGAGAGAACAAGATCCAGTTGGGTTCCCCAGCCCCTAGATGGGGGGGGGCAAAGTGGGAGTCTTGGCGGGGAGGAGGCCGTGGTCTCCTGACTCTGGGGGAACTTGCCCACCCCAGCCCTGTTAGCTCACTTCTCTTGAGCCTCTTTGTTCTCCCCCCCAATGGTTTCCCTTTTCCTCAGTTTCTCTTCTTGTTGAATTCTGGTCTCCCCCTCTTCAGCCGGCGTTCCCCCCGGGGCAGACAGCACCGGTGGTGTTTAACCCGCCACCAGCGACCCAAATGAACACGCCTTCTCAGCCCCGCCAGGTGAGGGTCTGTGGGGAGGCAGCTGGGACTTGGGGGGCTGGGGAAGGACCAGGAGAGTAGAGTGGTCAGGGCCTGGCTCCTCGCACCTGACTCTGATCTCTTCCAATCCTTGTTCTCCTGTGTCCCCTTACTCTTTTTCAGTGCATTATTTGATAATGAGTGCCCACAGGAGACACGCCTAGGTTATGGGGGTGCCCCTAACGGGGAGCCCCACAGAGCTGGGAGCAGTGCACCTGGGGTGGCCCTAATGGAGCTTACATCTTTTCTGTCTCCTCTCTTCTCCTGGTGGTCGCAGTAGCTCTGGTCATTGTCCCTTGTTGCCACTCTAGCCCGTGGGGGAGAGGAGCCCCATTTTTTCTCCCCTGCTTCCTTCCTCCTAAGAAGGGATGTTTCTTTCCCTATTCTCCTCACTCCATCCCTGGCCACCTGGGGGATAATTCTCTTCTTTCCTGTCCCCATGTGCTCTCAGGGAGGATTCAGGTCTCTGCAGGTAATGCCTCTTGCCTGATCCTGGACCATAGCCTGGTCTCCTAGTCACGGGCGGGGCAGCAGGGACAGGGTCCTGAGGGATGGTGGGGAGATAGCCTCCTGTCCCCCCAGGGTGGAGGCTTGGGGTGGAGGGGGCTGGTGTAGTGCATGTTGAGGGGGCTTAGTTTTACAGAGCCTCTGGTCTTGGGAAGGGAAAGAGCCCTGCATGTTAAAAGCCACCTCCCTAGTGTCCTGGGGTTGGGGGATGGGGGATGGGGGGCGGGGCAGGGAGGCAGAGCAGTGCATGCTGGTCTGTCTGTTGCCTGGAAGGGTCAGGGAAGGCAGGGCCGCTTTTGTATGAGAGGGGTCCTTTTTACGCTACCATATGGAGTGCATGGTTCTCTGGGAGTGAGAGAGTTCTTGGAGAGAGGCTGGAGATGGTGGGAAAGCCCAGAGGAGCGAGCAGTCGGCCTTAGGGGCTGGGGGCTGCTGAGCTGTTGAGCTAGTGTGAGCGTAGGCCACCTGTCTGCAGCAGCTCCACTTGTTTGGGATTTTGGGGCTGGCTGTGACGCTGTCCCGTTCCTTTTCCTTCCTCACTGTCCCAGCATTTCTATCCAAGCCGGGCTCAGCCCCCCAGTAGTGCAGCCTCCCGAGTGCAGAGTGCAGCCCCCGCCAGGCCTGGCCCGGCTGCCCACGTCTACCCTGCGGGTTCCCAAGTGATGATGATCCCCTCCCAGATCTCCTACCCGGCCTCCCAAGGCGCCTACTACATCCCTGGACAGGTGAGGCAGGGATCTCCCTGGAAGTGGGACCTGAGACACGTGCCTAATCTTGAGTCCCTCCATTTCCTACCTGGCCCCTCTTCTCCCGATTTCTAGGCTAAGGTGTCTGGCCCAGCAGTGTGGCCAGTTACTCATTGCCACGTCCTCCCTCCCTGCCTCCCCAGGGTCGGTCCACATATGTTGTCCCAACACAGCAGTATCCAGTGCAGCCAGGAGCCCCCAGCTTCTATCCTGGAGCAAGCCCCACTGAATTTGGGACCTACGGTAAGCAACAAGGGAAGGGGGGAGGGAGGTGTGCCTGTGAGCCTTAGACTGTGAAAACAAACCCTGGCCACTGGTGTTGGTATCAAAGAGATGGGATTCGTAATTGGTGCTTAATGTTTAACAAATGGTGGGGGGTGGGAGGGAGTAGACTTTATCCTGCTGCCAAGAGACTTGGAGGCTTCCCCAGGGCCTGGCAGAAGTCAGAGGTCCACGTGCAGAGGGGTCTGGGAGCTCGGGTCGTGGATGGTCGATCCTCCCTCCCTGCTTGCCTAGTGTGGCTTCCTTCCTGTTCCCTGTCCCCAGTGTCTGAACCTCTGCCCAAGAACCTTAGAGCCAGGTGGAATAGGGGGTCATGAGGGATAGGTGGGATCTCTCTGGTCTTGCAGAACACATCTTTGCTTCCTGAGTAGGAAAAAGGAAAGGGCATCCCACATAGGAGCTGGTCATACTCTTGGATCTCTGACCTAGTGGGCCTGGATGATTGGGGGGGGGGTGTCTGTATACATATGTGTGTGTGGGGGGGGTTGCCTTCCATCCAGAGGTGTGTGTCAGGAATTCTTGTAAACGCAGCTCAGACTGGTTCCCCGGCTTCTGTAGACGCCGAGTTCCCTGGGGGTGGGGGGCGGAGCAAGGGGCAGAAGCCCTGGCTCTCCTCCCCTCCTCTGCTGTGTGGGGAAAGCTGGGTTCTGGGGGCCTGAGGGGCACACAAGCGGGTGTCCGTATATGGTCGGGTCCTGACGTTGCCATCACTCCTTGTCCTCCCCACCCCTACCCGGCCCCCTTCTGCAAAGCCGGTGCCTACTACCCAGCTCAGGGTGTGCAGCAGTTTCCACCTGGCGTGGCCCCCGCCCCAGTCATGATGAACCAGCCGCCCCAGATTGCTCCCAAGAGGGAACGAAAGACGGTGAGCCACAGCGGTGAGGGAGAATTGGGGATCTGAGAAGGAGGAGGCAAGGTCAGGTGGGAGCTAGGGCACTGTGGGTCAGAGCAGGGGGATTCTGGGAGAAGGGTTCTAGCCGGGGGGGGGGGGGGGGGGGGGGGGGGGGGGCCGGGGGGTTTTTCGAGCGGGGTAAGGAATGTTCGGCCTTGAGGGGGCGGGGGTAGCCTGAGAGGGTGTTGGGGAGTCCTGAGGGGCCTGAGTTCTTGGGGGTTCAGTGTGGGTTTTTGTTTGTTGGGAATGATTTGTCCTGTGTTATGTGCCCATGCTCCCACCCCCACCCCCCATGTCCTGGAAGCTCTTGCTAGCCTCCGCCTCTGCTCAGTCCTCCAGCCCTGGGCGTGGTGCCCAGAATGGGGTGCCAGGGCTGGGGAAGCCGCTGAGTCACTGTGGCTCCACCCCTTGGAGCCTGGGCCCTGCCCAGAGAGCAGGCAATCCTTGGCCAGAATTGGGCTGTTTGAGGGCTGGATTGGAGTCCCCGAGGTGGGAGGAGGGAGGTGTGTGCTGTTGGCTTGGAGCATTGGAGGGGGCAGTAGTGAGGGAGGGCATTGTGATGTACTGGGTACTCTGTGAGGTCGAGGGGCTCGTGGGGGTGGGGGCTATGATTCCAGCATCAGGGTGCTTGGGTCAGCAGGGGAATTCAGGGGGTTCATGCTACTTCCCTACCTGTTTCCTGGGGGGGAGGGGTAGAGTGGGGGCAGGGAGGAGAAGTGGGCTCCCCCTGCTCCCCACTCAGCCTACACCTTTTCCCAGATTCGGATCCGAGATCCCAACCAGGGAGGGAAGGATATCACAGAGGAGATCATGTCTGGGGCCCGGACCTCCTCCACCCCCACTCCTCCCCAGGTATTGAGGGGTGTCACAACCCTGGGGAGGGGGAAGGCCCTCAGGACCAGCAGTCTGACCTCTTGCTTCCCACAGACAGGAGGAGGTCTGGAGCCTCAGGCCAATGGGGAGACTCCCCAGGTTGCTGTCATCGTCCGCCCAGGTAAGTGGCCTCCTCTGGCCTTGTCAAGGGAGAACGTGGCCGTGAAGAAGGGAATGGGTTGTGAGCTGGCGGCCGTGGGGTGGTGGTGACAGATGCGAGTGGTCATTCTTCGCTCTCTGTCACAGATGACCGGCCTCAGGGAGTGACCGTCGGGGGCCGGCCGGGGGGTGGCCCAGAGCACAGCCCCTCTGAATCTCCATCGCAGCCATCCTCTCCTTCCCCGGCCCAGTCACCACCACCTCCAGTTTTACAGCCAGGGCCTGAGCCGGGCCTCTCGGGCCTCCCCATTACCGAGGACACGGTGGCAGCCACGGTGGTCATGGAGATTTCTGTTCAGGAGCCCGCCCCCACCACTCACAACGCACCAGAGCTGCCCTGCCCCGGTCTCGCTCTCCAGCAGCCCTGTGCCTCCCCTGGACCCTCCCCAGAGGCAGAAGTGACTAGTCCTCCGCCAGCCCCTGAGCCTGCCACTGCCCAGGCTCCCAGCCTCCAACAGCCTCCGGACACCGAGCTTTCTCCCGAGCCCAACGGCGTGGCCCCCACGGAGGAGCCCGAGGCCCAGCCAGAGGTGGGCCAGGCTGAAGCGGTTCCTGTGCCGCCAACCCCCCCAGCCTGTCCCCAGGAATTCACAGTTGTGGCCCCTACGGCCCAGCCTGAGGAGCTGCCCAACGGGACCCCCTCTCCCCCAGCCACGGACCTGAGCCCTATTGCTGAGCCCGAGGAGCCGGCTGAGGAGGTGGCGGTGGTGGCGGCGGCGCCAGCACCAGCGCCGGCACTCCCCGCCCTCCCTGCCGACCTTCCCGGGCCACCTGCTGCACCTCCTGCCCAGGAGGAAGAGCTAGAGAATGAGGAGGAGGAGGAGGAGGACGAGGAGGAAGGGGAGACTGAAGGGGAGAAGGGAGGAGAGGAATCGTTGCCCCCTGAGACCACCCCCACCCCAGCCCCCCTTCCCCAGAGCCTTGACGAGACAGCCACCCAAGGTGAGGGGTAGAGGGGTGGGATCGCCGTTCGCGGACTCGTTTGCTCAGTTGCTGAAGCACCTGAGGTTCTCCTTAGCTTGTTCTGTGTGGAACGCACCCTGTGGAATAGGTTCGGGGAGGGCAGGGGCCCCCACAGATGCCCCGAAGTGAGGGCCTAGACGAGGAAGGGGGAGGGGGGAGCCAGCTAACAGTGGGCTGCTTGTTTCTTCGCTGATGAGGTCCTCTTTGTGCCATTGTGTCTGGGCCACCGAAGCCTGGTGTTGGAGCTGAGGATCTGAGGAGAAACGAGGGTGGAGGCACTGGAGGCAGCCCAGAGAGACTGGGCTGATGGTGGAGGAGGGGGGAACGTTCTTAAATATTCCGGCCTTCGGTCCCCCTTTAGTGGTGGCAACATCTGTGCCAAAGAGGAGACGGAGAATCAAGGAACTGAACAAGAAGGAGACCATGGGCGATCTGTTGGATGCCTTCAAGGAGGTGAGTGGTGAGGGGGTGGCTGTGGGGGGGGGCACGGTGAGATGGAGGGGAGCAGTCAGCCCTACAGCCCGGGGTCCTGTGCCCACAGGGGAATGAGGGCGTGCCCGAGTCGGAAAGTCAGTCCCCTGCGGGCAGGGCGCCAACCCCCGAGCCTGAGGGTGGCCTGCGGAGCCCCCGGCCCGAGGAGGCCGATGAGACCTGGGAGGAAAAGGAAGACAAGATCGATGATGCTGAGAACATCCAGCCTGGGGATCAGAAGTACCAGTACAAGTCAGGTGAGCTCGGGGGCCGCATGGCAGGCCAAGGCTGTGGGGAGGGGGAGGGGGAGCAGCGCCACCTCGAACCCTTTGCTCTTCCGTGTTCTCAGATCAGTGGAAGCCTTTGAATCCGGAGGAGAAGAAGCGCTACGACCGGGAGTTCCTGCTCGGATTCCAGTTCATTTTCGCCAGTTTGCAGAAGCCGGAGGGCCTGCCTCACATCAGTGATGTGGTGCTAGACAAGGTGTGTGCAGCCAGGAGGGTGGGCTCTGGCTGACTGGTGAGGAGCTCTGCCCAGGGTGCCCACGGGGCTCCTGTCCTGCCAGTGAAAGCTCCCCTTGTGTGCACAGGTAAACAAGACCCCCCTGAGGCCGCTAGACCCCACCCGGCTAACCATCATGAACTCTGGCCCTGACTTCACCCCGTCTTTTGCCAACCTGGGTCGGCCTAACCTCAGCAGTCGCGGCCCCCCAAGAGGGGGCCCTGGTGGGGGACCAGGCAGCGAGCTACCCCGAGGACCGGTGAGTGAGAATGCTGGGCTGACCCAATAGTGGCTGGATTAGGGAAATCAAATCTTCTGCCATGGCCTCACTCGGCCTTTCTCACCTGGCTCCCCTCTTAGCCGGCTGGCCTTGGCCCCCGGCGCTCCCAGCAGGGCCTTCGGAAGGAGCCGCGAAAGATCATTGCCACGGTATTGCTCAGTGAGGATGTGAAGCTTAATAAAGCCGAGAAGGCCTGGAAGCCCAGTAGCAAACGTGGCCCTACGGAAAAGGACCGGGGAGAAGAAGATGCTGACGGCAGCAAAACCCAGGTGCCGGAGGGTGGGGCTGGTCCTCCCCGTCCGTCCCCTTCCCCTCTCCCCGGGGACTGAAGTTGTCCTCGGCTCCCCAGAGTAGGACGGGGAGTCTCACTCTGCGTGCTCTGTCCCCTTTGCCTTCCAGGACCTGTTCCGAAGGGTGCGATCCATTCTGAACAAGCTGACGCCCCAGATGTTCCAGCAGCTGATGAAGCAGGTGCAGCAGCTGGCCATCGACACGGAGGAGCGCCTCAAAGGGGTCATCGACCTGATCTTCGAGAAGGCCATCTCAGAGCCCAACTTCTCGGTGGCCTATGCTAACATGTGCCGCTGCCTCATGGGGGGCAGTGCTGTCCCCCCCCCCCCCCCCCCCAGCCCTGCCCCAGAGTCCATCTTCTCCCTTCTGACGCCTCCCTCCCCTCCCCCACAGCTGAAGGTGCCCACCACCGACAAGCCCACGGTCACCGTCAATTTCCGGAAACTGCTGCTGAACAGGTGCCAGAAGGAGTTTGAGAAAGACAAAGACGACGACGAAGTATTTGAGAAAAAGCAGAAGGAGATGGATGAGGCGGCAACGGTGCGGGCGGGCCTGGGCGAGTTTGGGGTGGTGGAGAAGGGAAGGTGACTGGGGACTCTGCTTCCCCTTGGGGAGGCCCTCAGGACCGCCCCTCGCGTCCGGCGTGCCGCCAGTACGCTCGCCCGACCCTCCCGTCCTCTTTGTCGCTCCAGAATCTTGGGCAGCTTCCCATTGCCTCCCAAAGGAAGTCTAGGCTGGGCTCGGCATCCGTTACTTTCCATAATTGGGCTCTGAGCTATTTTCCACAGGGATCTCGTGTTCTTTTCCTTCATCTGTTCAGGGCTTCAACCCATGGGCATACTGAATGTGCCCCCAACGCTCGACCCTTTTGTTCATTCCCTGCGCTGGGTGGTCTTTCTCTGACTTTGTTGGCTCTTGTCACCAAGCGTGGTCTTTCTGTGCTTCGGCCGCTCCCTTCACTTGTACTTCCTAGATACTTGGGTTCCTTGTTCATCACTGGATCTGTCTCATTGATCCATTTATGTCAGATAGACCTGCACAACTTGGCGGTAGATAGGAGCCAAGATTCAAATAGGCTCAACTTCTTAGGCTGGCCGCTTGTCGTGCAGGCCTGGCTCATGACTTTTCCCGGGGCCTGGCACGGCCCTCTGCATGTGGAGCTCAGGAGTTGGTGTTGAGGGAGAAGGGTGGGGCTTACTCCTCTCATGATTGCAGGGACTCCCCCCCAATCCCCAGCTGACCTTATCTGCCCCTCCCAGGCAGAGGAACGAGGCCGCCTGAAGGAGGAGCTGGAGGAGGCGCGAGACGTCGCCCGCCGACGCTCCCTCGGCAACATCAAGTTCATCGGGGAGCTGTTTAAGCTAAAGATGCTGACGGAGGCCATCATGCATGACTGTGTGGTCAAGTTACTGAAGAACCACGATGAGGAGTCCCTGGAGTGCCTCTGCCGGCTGCTCACCACCATCGGCAAAGACCTGGACTTTGAGAAGGCCAAGGTAGTGCACCCTCCCCAGAGGATGAGGGAGGCAGGGTGGGGGCGGGGGACAGGACGTCTCCTGGGGAGCTTGGGGCGCCTCCCTGCCCCCCCTGAGGGCTCTGCCTCTCCTCCTTCTAGCCCCGCATGGATCAGTATTTCAATCAAATGGAGAAGATCATTAAGGAAAAGAAGACTTCGTCGAGGATCCGGTTTATGCTACAGGATGTGTTGGATCTCCGAAGAGTAAGCAATCCCCAGGCTGTGCCTCTCGCCCCCCTGACTGACCCCTGCTCTCCCGGAGCCCATTTCCCACTCCTGACCACAGCCCCCGTCTAGATCTTCTGCTCCCTCTTGCCCTGAGTGGTCTTTGCCTCATCCTTGTAGAGCAGCTGGGTGCCACGCCGGGGAGACCAGGGCCCCAAGACCATCGACCAGATTCACAAGGAGGCCGAGATGGAGGAACATCGCGAGCATATCAAAGTCCAGCAGCTCATGGCCAAGGGCGGGGACAAGCGTCGGGGCCCTCCGGGGCCTCCCCCAGGCAGTGAGTCCACGAGAGGGAGGTGCCGGGCTCCTTTGGTCTGTGAGCCGGGAGGGAAGCCCTGCATGAGAGGGTCCAGTGGTCAGAGGGATTGGGTGGGGCTGGCAGGAGGAGAGCTCTCCGATGATGACCTCTTGTTAGTGCCACGTGTCTGGGCCACTGAGACCCTGTGATGGAGCTGAGGTTCTGAGGAGAGTGACAGCTGGCGGGGGCGCTCAGGTTGTTCGGGGTCTGTGGGTGAGTGCTGATCGTCGTATCTTCCTAGGCCGAGGGGGTTTGATTGTGGATGATGGAGGCTGGAATACCGTTCCCATCAGCAAAGGCAGCAGACCCATTGATACTTCCCGGCTCACCAAGATCACTAAGGTAGGAAGCCAGAGAAGAAAGAGGGAGGGGAGGGGAGGAGGGGAGGCTGGTCTTTTCACCTCTTGATATGAGACTCGTTTACTTGGAGAAGTTGGAGTGGGGCTGGGTCTCAGGATGGGCTGGAGCACCCTGTGATTCTGTTGTCCTCTTTGGAACCCCTAGCCTGGATCCATCGACTCCAATAACCAACTCTTTGCCCCTGGCGGACGCCTGAGCTGGGGCAAGGGCAGCAGTGGGGGCATGGGAGCCAAGCCCTCTGACTCAGGTAGGAGCAGAGGGGCAGTCTGGTTATGGGGGGGTGCCAGCCAATTGCCTTTAGAAATGGGAAGGGGTCCTGGGATGAGAAAGGAGGGGGTTTGCATTTCTGGCCTCTTTTCTCCCCAGCCTCTGAGGCAGCCCGGCCGTCCACCAGCACTTTGAACCGATTCTCAGCCCTTCAGCAGACAGCCCCCCCGGAGAACACCGACACACGGCGTGTGGTACAAAGGTGAGGCCTTTGTCGTCCTGGGGGATGCCACCCTGCTTGCCCTGTGTCTCCCTGGCCACGGGTGGGGCTAGGTTTTGTGCTGAGGCTCAGCTGGTTCTTCTCACAGGAGCAGTCTGAGCCGGGAACGCGGTGAGAAAGCTGGGGATCGCGGAGACCGCCTGGAGCGTAGCGAGCGGGGAGGGGAGCGTGGGGACCGCCTGGACCGAGCTCGGGCCCAGATCCCCAAGCGGAGCTTCAGCAAGGAAGTGGAGGAACGGAGCCGAGAGCGACCCCTCCAACCTGAGGGTCTGCGCAAGGCGGCCAGCCTGACCGAGGAGCGGGACCGCAGCCGGGATGCGGGTAAGGGGGGGGCGGCCGAGGCGGGGGCCAAGCAGGAGGGGATGCCCAGGCCGAGTCGGGGCCCCGCCATCTCCCTCTTGTTTCCTCTCTGTAGTGAAACGGGAAGGAGTCGCCGCCCCTGCGGGTCCCTCTAAGGCTGCGCTGTCTGAGGAAGAGCTAGAGAAGAAGTCAAAAGCCATCATTGAGGAGTTCCTGCATCTCAATGACATGAAGGTGAGGGGTGGCTGGGCAGGGGGGCTGCCAGGAGGAGGGCGGTGACACTGCCAGGGACCCCGGGGCCGGCTGACTCCCCCGTTGCTGCCTCCAGGAAGCGGTACAGTGCGTGCAGGAACTTGCCTCCCCGTCGCTGCTTTTCATTTTCGTTCGGAACGGCATCGAGTCGACCCTGGAGCGCAGTGCCATTGCCCGCGAGCACATGGGCCAGTTGTTGTACCAGCTTCTCTGTGCCGGTCACCTCACTACCATCCAATATTACCAAGGGTAAGCCAGCCCTCGGGTCCCCTGTCCGCCCGCTCCGCCTCGTACGTGTGTAGCCTTTGGCAGGAGAGGCCCTCAGAGCGAGGGTCTGCTGGGGGCCAGGCTCCCCCGAGGTGGAGCCCCTGGGGTCCTCACCTCTGGTCTTTGCAGGCTCCATGAGATCCTGGAAGTGGCTGAAGACATGGAGATTGACATCCCCCACGTGTGGCTATACTTGGCAGAACTGGTGACTCCCATCCTTAGGGAAGGTGGGGTGCCCATGGGGGAGTTTTTCAGGTAATGATCCTTTGTGTTCTTCAGCTCCCCCAGACTCGTGGGCCAGACTTAGGCCTGTCTTTTGGTGAGGTGGTGAAGTGATCCAAGGTCTGGCTCTCTCTGTCCCCACAGGGAGATAGCAAAGCCACTGAAACCCCTCGGCAAAGCGTCCGCCCTGCTGCTGGAGATCCTGGGGCTTCTGTGCAAAAGTGTGGTGAGTAGAGAGCGCCGAGGGCAGGGGCACACACAGACCCTTTGGGCCAACGCCCCTCCCTTCACGTGGGAGCACATTGCCCTCTCCTCCATCCCCCCATGCCGTGGAGCACACCGTAGGGCTCAGGCTGGGATCAGTGGCCAGAGGGCCTGGGCTCGCGTCGCATCTCTGCTGGGCAAGTCACAGACTTTCTGGAGATACTCTCAGTCCTGCGGGGCAGGGGTGGTCTGACAGATTCCTGGATCTTCACTTCTTGCCCATATTCATCCCCTCGAGCAAGGCCCTTCATCTCTGGGAGTCACTGTCCTCATCTTTGCACTGAGGAAGGTGCCTCAAGCTTCCTTCCAGCTCTGAATCAATGGTGAGCCACTGGGGGGAAGAGTAAGTAGGAGTTGGCAGGTTCACCAGGGAGAAGACGTCCTGGGAGGAGGGGCAGGGATTCTCTTGGTAGGTCTCTTCCCGGCTGACTGCTCAGTCTCCACCATCCCCACCCCCCCCAGGGGCATAGCCCAACCTTGGTGTGGGCCCTGGCTTCCAGGGGCTCAGTTATTATCTCTCTGCAGATGACTTCCCAGTCTGTAGTCATCGCTAGGGGCTCTTCTGAGTTCTGTTTTCACATTTCTATCTGTGTGGTGGGTGTTTTCAAAATGGTGTGTTCTGTTGGCATTTCACATTGAGCATGACCAAAACAAGAGCTCAGTAGATTGCCCCCCAAAGCCACCTTTCTTCTGAATATGCCTCTGTCTGTCAAGGGCACCCAGGCTTGCCACCTCAGACTCATCCTCCCTCTCTTGAGCTCACCTCATCTCCCCATCCGTCCTTTCCCAAGTTGAGGGTCTAGCTAGCTATGTTGCTGCCTTACTTAACAAATCTGGTGACTCCATAGGATGAAATGTAAGGTCCTCTGGCTCCACCTTGGCACCTTGGCAGCCTTATGGATGATTCCCCTTCTAGTCCAGCCAATTTGGTCTCCGTGTTCTTCAAATACATCTCACTACATTTATAAAGTCTTGAGTTACAATTCTGTCCCTCCCTCCCTCCCTCCCTTCACCGCCCTCCTCCCTGAGATGGTAAGCATGTATTATAGGTTATATATGTGCAGTCATGTGAACCATTTCCATATTAGTCATTTTGTACAAGAAGACAAGAAAAGAAAGAGAGATAGAATGTTTCAGTCTGTATTCAGACAAATATCAGTTCTTTGGAGGCCGATAGCATTTTCATTAGAAGTCCTTTGGGATTGTCTTAGGTTATTGTATTGCTGAGAACAGCTAAATCATTCACAGTTGGTCATTGTACAACGTTGCTGTTACTGTGTACAAGATCGATCTCTTTTTGCTCACCTCACTCAGCATCAGACCATACAAGTCTTTCCGGGTTTTTCTGAAGTCTGCTTGCTCATCATTTCTTATAGCACAATAATATTCCATTACATTCATATACCATAACTTGCTCAGCCATTCCCCAATTGATGGGTGTCCCCTGTATTTCTGATTCTTTGCTACCTCAAAAAGAGCATAAGTATTTTCATGCACGTGGGTTCTTCCCCCCCCCCCCCCCCTTTTTTTTAATGTCTTTGGGATACAGACCTAGCAATCGTGTTACCGAGTTAGTTTTGGGCATAGTTCCAAGTTGCTTTCCAGAATGGTTGGATCAGTTCACAACTCTGTCAGCCATGCATAAGTGTCCCAGTTTTCCGATGTCTCCTCCAACATTTATTATTTTCCTTTTTTGTCATATTAGCCAATCTGATAGGTGTGAGGTGGTACCTCAGAGTTGTTTTAATTTGCATTTCTCTAATCAATAGGGATTCAGAGCGTTTTTTCATGTGACTGTAGATAGCTTTGATTTCTTCTTCTGAAGACTGCCTTTTCATGTCCTCTGACCATTTATCATTTGGGGAATGACTTGTATTCTTATAAATTTAACCAGTTTTGTATATATTTGAGAAAAGAGGTCTTTGTCAGTGATACTTGCAGCAAAAATTTCTTCCCAGTTCTAGTTTTGGTTTCGTTGGTTTTGTTTGTGCAAAACCTTTTTAATTTTATGTAGTCAAAATTATTTTACATTTTGTAATGTTCTCTGTATCTTGTTTGGTCCTAAATTCTTCCCTCATCTATAGCTCTGACAGGTAAACTATTCCATTCTCTCCTAATTTGACGAAACCTTGATTCTCCTGCTGTGGCTTTTAGTGCTGTCTGTAGAAAACTGTCTCATGTTTGTTTCGTCTGGATGCTCTGTTTACCAGCCTTCCCCCTTGTGGCTGAGGTCACATAGTGAGTGCTTGCTACATACTTCTTAATTGATCAATTGAGGAGGTAGCTGTCGAAGGTGTGGGAAAAGGCCCCTTATTTTAGAAAAGAAGTGACGAGTAGATGGGCTGGCTGTTTGGACGGTGGGAAGCTGGGATTTGATGGGGCTCTCAAGAAAGCAGAACTTCACAGTGTCCTTCCACGTGGAATCTCCACAACAGAAGAATGATGGGCACTGCGGGGTGGCATGTGTCCCTTTGAACCTTTCCTTTGTTCCAATAAGGCACACCCAGTCCTCTCTGTTAGCACCAGTGACATCCAGTGTTCTTGAGACCCATTTGCTAAGGATTTATTAAGGATGAATTCCAGGGGTACAAAGAATGTGAAAACCAGCCCCTGCCCTAAAGCAGCTTACGTGCTACTAGGGGATGTAGGCAGATGAGTCTGTAGCTTATAACTTGAGACAGCCCTGCCAGCTGTGGGAATCCAGAGGGGCTTCTCGTAGGAGGGGAGATGGGAGGGACAGTAGCAGCGCTCATTTGATAGCCCTCCGAGGTTTGCAGAGATAATCACAGGGAGACATCTCACAGTTGAGGAAATGGGCCGAGAGAGATGGTGACTTGACCAGAACCATATGGCTGAGGCAGGACCCCCGGCCAGCTCTCTCCACTGTGTCACCCAGCTGGCCAGTGAAGGAGATCGATGGGAGCCTGACGCTGGTGAACTTAAAGAGGCTGTGATGAGAGTCTGTGTTTTATCATGGCGGCAGTGGGGACCGACACAATCCAGCTTGTTCTTCAGGGATGTGATGTTGGTAGCCATGAGGATGGATGGGGGAGAGAAGAGGCCGATAGCGGCGAGGGCACTTAGGAGAATGGGCCGCATGGCCACAGTCCAGGTGAGAGGCGAGGAGGCGAACGGCCGTGTGACTGCAAGACGTGTTTGAGAGTCAGACGTTGGGAGTCGGATGGCCACATAGGTCAGGGAAAGGAGGCATCAAGGATGATGACAAGGCGGTGGACTGGGGTGGGGGTGGGGGAGCCAGAGATGCAGGAGGGTAGTGACAGCGCTTAGGAATTGGCTTCTTCCATGCTGTCCTCATCCCTCTTGCTTCCCCTGGCTTCTGTCAGTGGTAGTCCATGACTGAGAACTAGCAGGTTCTTGTTGAACCATACACACATATACATGTGTTCTTGAACACATTCTCACGCGTAGACGTAGACACGTTTCACCACTGCTCCCATTGAGCTAGCTAGAGAAGTCCCCTGATGCGTACTCGTGTGGTCCGGCACAACAGTTTCCCGTATTGGCCACATCTGAAAATGAACTTTGTAAAGCTCTTCTCACCGTCCCTAGCCAGTAAGGTGTGCTTGGTAAGTTGTCGGTTCTCCTTTCCGCACCTCTGTTAGGAGAAGGGGAGGGAGGCTGTGTTCATCATCATTCTTTGGATGAGTGGTGCTGACCTGAGTTCTGAAGCCTGACATTTCTCATTGTATAAATTGTTCTCCTGGATCTGCTCACTTTGTTCTGTTCCAGTTCAGTAAGGTCTTCTAGTTTCCCCTGAAACTGACCCATTTCCTCTTTTTTTGGGGGGTAGGCCGTGGGGTTAAGTAACTTTCCCAGGGTCACAACAGCCAGTAAGTATCATGTGTCTGAGGCCGGATTTGAACTCAGGTCCTCCTGACTCCAGGGCTAGTGCTCTATCCACTGTGCCACCTAGCTGCCCCTTTTTCGTTTTGCCATTTCCTCATTTTTTAAAGCACGGTAAAGACCCCATTACATTCACAACTGCACTTGGTTTGGCCACTCCTCTACAGGACACCCCCCTAGTTCCCAGTTTGGGGGATGTCACAAAGATTTTTGTACATCACGATCCTGTCTTCCTTTGATGTCTCGGTGGGATAGCTGGGACATTGGGTCTGAACATTTTAGTTAACTTTGTGGGCCTGATTTCTTTCTTTGGTGGGGGAATATATTTTTAAGTTTTCTTTTTTTCTCAATTACATGTAAAAACATTTTTTAATAATTGTTTTTTAAAATTTTGTGTTCAAATTCTTTCCTTCATTGAAGTGAGCACTTTGCTATAGACAATTTATATGCAAACATGCGTAACATTTCCATGTCAGCCATGTTGCAGAAAGAAAGTTAGACCCCCAAAACCAAGGAAGAATAAAGTAAAAAGAACGTGCTTGATCTGCATTCAGTTTCCATCAGCTCTTTCTTCAGAGACGGAGAGCACTTGTCATCAGGAGTCCTTGGGAATCGTCTTGAGAAGGGCTGTCATTCACAGTTGAACGTCATATAGTATTGCTGTTAGAGTGTACAGCACAGTCCTGCTCGCTTCACTTTGCATCAATTCATGGGAGTTTTCCCATATTTTTCTGAAACCATCCCTTCTTTCATCTCTTTTAGTGTTCCATCATACTTACACACAACTTGTTCAGCCATTCCCCAGTTGGTGGGCATCCTTTCAATTTCTAATTCTTTGCCACCACAAAATGGGCTGCTACAAGTATTTCTGTACAAATAGGTCCTTTTCCTTTTTCTTTGATCACTTTGGGTTTCAGGACTAGTAGTATTGCTGGGTCAAAGGGTATGTACAATGTAGTCGCCCTTTGGACATAGTTCCAAATTGCTGTCCACAATGGTTGGATCAGTTCACAACTCCACCAACAGTGCATTAGTGTACCTGTTTCCCACATCCTATCCAACATGTATCACTTTCCTTTTCTGTCATATTAGCCAATATGATAGATGTGAAGTGGTACCTCGGAGCTGTTTTAATTTGTATTTCTCTAATCAATAGGGATTTAGAGCATTTTTATGACTGTAGATAGCTTTGATTTCTTCTGAAAACTGCCTGTCATTTTCCTTTGACCATTTATCAGTTGGGGAATGACTTGTATTCTTAACAATTTGACTTAATTATATATTTGAGAACTGATGTCAGAGACACTGGCTGTAAGATTTTTTTCTGCAGTTTTTTGCTCTCCTTCTAATCTTGGCTTCATTGGTTTTGTTTGTGCAAAAACCTTGAAATTTAATGTAATCAAAATTATCCATTTTACATTTTGTAATGGTCTTGTCTCTTGTTTGGTCCTAAATTCTTCCCTTCTCCATAGATCTGACAGGTAAACAAACCATGCCATGCTTCCCTACTTGGCTCATGATGTCACCCTTTATGTCTAAATCATGTGCCCATTTTGACCATATATACATATATAATATATATGTATGTATGTATGTGTACACACACACACAGTATCTAAGTGTAGACGGTGTGAGACATTGGTTGGTACCTAGTTTTTGCCAAGCGGCTCTCCAGTTTACGAGAATTCTTTGGCTGAGGGCTAGTTCTCAGCCTCCAAGCTGGGATCTGTGCGTTGATCACACACCACTTACCATGGCCATTTCCTGCGGTGCTGAGGGCCTGATTTCGGCTTGCTTCCCAGAGCGGCTGTACCAGCTCCCTCACAGTACAGAGGGTTCTCACAACAACTCCTTGTTAAAATTTCCCTCTTTTGGGGTCTTTGCCAGTCTGAATATCACAGGTGCTTTTTCACTTGCATTTGAAAAATTACTAGTGATTTAGAGAATGATTTTCGTGTGATTAGTAGCTTCGATTTTTTTCTTTGAAAAATGCCTATTCCAAGGGGCAACTAGGTGGCACAGTGGATAGAGCACTGGCTCTGAAGTCAAAGGACCTGAGTTCAAATCCAGCCTCAGACCAAACACTTGACACTTAACTAGCTGTGTTAACCCCAATTGCCTGAAAAACAAAACAAAAACAAAAAAGAAAAAAACAAGAAAAAAAAATGCCTGTTCCTGGCCTTAAGGCCATAGATCATTTGGGAAATGAGTCTTACTCATTTGTATCTGTTGTGGATGAGACCTGTTATCAGAGAAATTTGTTGCAGACTTTCCCAGTTATCTAGTTTCCTTCTAATTGTTTAATTCATTAGATTCATTTCTTTGTTTTAATTTCCCATTAGATAAAATTGCTCATTTTATCTTGTGTAATCCTCTTTATGAATTCTACCCTTGACCACAGATCTGAAAGGTAAATTTCTTCTCTGATTTTCTGATATCTGATTCACGTATCCATTTGGAATCAGTGTGTGGTGTGATGGATTGGTCTGAAGCCAGTAGCTGCCAGACTGTGGTCCGGTGTTTAGGGAACCCTTCCTTCTTCAGGAGGGGAGGGGTGCAGCTGGGCCGCCTAAGCCCTCCAGGAGAGCAGGGGGCCAAGCCAGAGCAGTACCTGTCCATGTTGGCTTGTCCCCTTCTGGCTCCCCACACCCCATCTCTGCCAACCCTTGAGGGGGGCTGAAGGGATCTTGCCTTTTCAACAGGGTCACAAAAAGGTCGGGGTGCTGTGGCGAGAGGCTGGGCTCAGCTGGAAGGAATTCCTCCCTGAGGACCAGGACGTCAACGCCTTTGTCATTGAGCAGGTAGGGGGCGGGTCTTCACCTGGCTCGGTGTCCTGGCCCTGCTACAGAGCTGGCCAAGTCCCTCACCCTCACCTTGTTTGGTTCGTGCCTGCCCCTCATCACCTGACCCTTGAACTCTTGGTCTCAGAAAGTAGAATACACACTGGGAGAGGAGTCCGAGCCCCCGGCCCGGCGAGAGCTGTCCCCCGAGGAGCTGAGCCAGCAGCTGAAGAAGCTGCTTCAGGAGAGCGCCAGCAACCAGCGAATCTGTGACTGGCTCGAGGTGGGATGGGGCTCTGGGCGGAGGGGGAGGCTTGGCTGCAGGGGCGGTGGCCTTGCTCACCCGCGTCCCTTCTCCTCCACAGGCCAACCTGAGCGTGCAGCAGCTGGCCTCCCATACCTTGGTCCGCGCACTCCTGACCGCCGTCTGCTGTTCAGCCATCATTTGTAAGGGTCGGGGGGCTCGGGAGAGGGACGCTGACCCTTGGGAGTGGTTCAGGGCTGGAGATGGGCCCAGCTGACTTGCTGCCTGCCTTTCCAGTCGAGTCCCCCTTGCGGCTGGATGTGGCCGTGCTGAAGGCGCGAGCGAAGCTTCTTCAGAAGTACGTGAATGACGAGCAGAAGGAGCTGCAGGCGCTCTACGCCCTCCAGGCGCTTGTGGTCACCCTGGAGCAGCCAGCCAGTAAGGGGCAGGGCCCGGGGCAGGGGCCGGGGCAGGGGCTGGCAGTGAGACCACTGGTTTGGGACTCCTTTCATAAGCATTCTGTCTCTTCCTCTCTGCTCCCAAATCTCTCCCCTTCCTTTCCCCCTTGTGCTACCTTCCTTCTCTCTTTCTCCCTCCTCTCTCCTCTTGTCTCCCTCCCTCCCTTCCCTCTTTCCTCTCTCTTGGTCCTTCTCCCTCCTTCTCTGTCCCTAATGAGTCTAGGGTTTCCAACCTCTGTCCCTCTCCATCTGTAAAGGGAGGATGAGGACTGAGGCCTGTTCTGGTACCTGTGTCGCGGGGGTCTTTGCCAGGGCCCTGCCCCCCTCACAGGCCTTGCCTCCCTTGCTCCCTGCAGACCTACTACGCACGTTCTTCGATGCGCTCTACGATGAAGACGTGATCAAAGAGGAGGCCTTCTACAGCTGGGAGAGCAGCAAGGACCCCGCCGAGCAGCAGGGGAAGGGCGTGGCCCTCAAGTCTGTCACTGCCTTCTTCATGTGGCTGCGTGAGGCCGAGGACGAGTCTGACCACAACTGAGGGCAGGGGCCGGCCAGGGGCCACCCGAATGGACCGCGCGGACAGCAGCCGCACAGACTGCAGGGGGGGCTGCGGCGTGCGCCTGTAGCGCGGTGTGTGTCTGAGCTAATAAAGTGGTGGCTGTCGAGGCAGGATGGCTTGGGGCTGCCTGGGCCCCCCCCCCAGGACGATGCCAGGCGCCCCTCCCCCCGGGGGCATAGAGATATATTATATATAAAGTCATAAAAATTGGTGTGGGGGTGGGGTACCACCGCCTACCCCTGGGGTCCTTTTTTTTATTTTAAGGAAATCACTTTTGGGACAGCGTCCTCGCTGCTGGGGGCGTTCCGCCCCAGCCCCCCTCCCCGCACCTCCTCTGCTGCTGCCTGGGCAGGGGAAAGGGGGGGCACGGTGCCTGTAATTATTAAACATGAATTCAATTACGTTCCATGCCTCTGCTTTCTGCCCTGCTCTCACCGGAGGGGGCCTTCCTGGGCAGCGGTCAGCCGGGGAGGCCGGAGAGCTGGCTCGGGCCTCGTTCTCTCCGGTGGCGATGGGAGTGGGCCTAGAGGAGCCTCGCGAAAGCCCAGACCCGGTGGGTCGGGGGTTGGCAGAGATGGGGTGGGGGGAGCCGGAAGGGGACGAGCCGACGTGGGCAGGCGCCGCTCTGGCTTGGCCCCCTCGCTGGCCGCGTGGGCATGGCTAAAGCGCCCCCAACGTCCCTCCTCGTGTCCTCCGTCCCTGGCTGGGCTCTTGGGGACCCCCTCCCCCAGCTGTGACGTCAGCCCCGCTCGCCGCCCTCCTGGGCCCAGTGGCGTCACGGAGCCCGCCCCCAGTTCTGACGTCCCCCCCCCTCCGCTCCTGCCGGCGGACTAGCGGCTCCGGCCCCTCCCTTCCCCGCCTGCTCCCCTCCCTCCCGGGCCTCGGGAAGGTGATGGCCCGCGGCCCCAGCTGAGCCTCCACGGGGCCCTCCCTGGCCATGGGCTGCATCGGCTCCCGGAGCCCCGCGGGTAAGAGGGGGGCGGCGGGCGGCGCGGCGCGGCGCGGCGGGGTCCCCAGGCAGGTGGGCCCGAGGGCCGGAGGGGTGGAGGAATGGAAGGAAGGGCCGAGGGCCGGAGGGGTGGAAGGGCCGAGGGCCGGAGGGGTGGAGGAATGGAAGGAAGGGTCGAGGGCCGGAGGGGTGGAAGGGCCGAGGGCCGGATGATCGGAAGGGCCGAGGGCCGGATGATCGGAAGGACCGAGGGCCGGATGATCGGAAGGATGCAGGAAGGGAAGGAGCTGGGGAGGGGGCCGGAGCCTGGGCACGGGGAGGAGGGGAGGAGCCTGGCGGGAGCTAGAGCGGGAGGGAGCTGAGGGTAGTGGGCGGCTTAGCCTCAGCGCTCTTACCTGTCGGTTTTCCTGGCCTGATGGTGGGAGCAACAGAACGTTATGGCCGCAGACCTCTCCAGGCCCACCTTGGCTCTCAGTTTTTCCACCTGGGATGGTGATGGGCCGGTCTCCTGCCCACCTTGACGGCGGCCCTCCCACCCCACCCCACCCCACCCAACACATCTATCTCCCTGCACTCCATCCATTCCTTTCTGCCTTCCCACACGTCCATGTGGACGCCCAGCTACTTCTGCCCTTTCCTCAGAGCGTCCTTCCCCGTGTTCTCTGCCAGGCTCCTGGCTCGCCTGTCCACTTTGCCTCTGAGCACCAGGAGACCTCTTGGAGTCACTGCCCCGAGGAGTGTGTGGGATGGAGCTTTGACAGCAGTCTAGTACCCCACCCCCACCCCCAAGCCACACTGGAGAATGTAGAACCAGAGAGGGAGGCAGGTTCGGCTTCCCTCCCTACCCCATCTCTTGCTCCCCATCCTAAGAGCAAGCCCTTAGCTCCCCATGAGTCCCACTGCGTTCTAGGGCCAGAGTTGCATGCTGGGACCTGTAGTACATTTTAGGTCTGTTAACCTACTTTGTGTCAGTGGGACTCCCTCTGGGTGAGCCCAAGGTAGGCATGGACTCCTGGGCCTCGTGGTACCTACAACTAGGCTGGTTCCTGGGGTGTTTATAGGGTTGACGTCATAACATCGTAGGGAGCTGTGAATTTCTGTTCCAGATCTGTCAACAGCTGGGGGACGGCTGGTCAAGTCCCTCCCCTCTCTGGGCCTCAGTTTCCTCATTTGCAAAATTGACAAGTTTGGACTGCATTGTCTCTCCCATATCTGACATCCTGATCTCTCTCTTCCTGCTGTCTTCCTGCTGTTAGCACTCAAAGTTCTGGTGGGCCCTGGGTCACAGAGCCTTTGCTACTCACACGGGGGGGCTCCAGCATGGAAGGATGGAAGCTTGGGGTCTCTTGAGTAAGGTGGTCTCTATTTAACTTGAGAGGCAGCAAGCTCCTTGAGGGCACAGACTGTCTTTTGCCTCCTTTTGAATCCTGGTGCTTTAGCACCGTGCCTAGCACAGAGTGGGCACTGAATAAATGCTCAGGACAGACTGTTGACTGACCTTGGAGTGCTCTGGTCCCTTGGACCCTGCCGAGGTGGCCCCCATGTTTTTGGACATGGCTGAGAGCCCAGGGAGCCATCCCTCCATCACACACACAGACAAACTCCACTCATAGTCAGATGAGAGAGCCAGCCCCAGGGTCACCCTGGTGAGCTTGGATGAGGTGAGCTGACAACGAGAAAAGGGGAAAGTAACCTTGTATCTTCCTTCTGGTTGTTAGCGTTTCTGGGGACCACCAGCTGGCTGAGGCTCGGGGACAGAGACCGCTGCTCCGGCTAAAGGTCAGTTACGATCTGCCCTGCCTGTTGGCGCTGTCCAGGGGATGACCCTAAGCCCCTAGCTCCCCGAGCCCCAGAGAGCTAAGTCCTGTGCCTCCTGCCTCCCTGCAGAAGGACCAGAGTCCTCTTTGTGTGAATCAGAGTGGGAATTCTGATCGGGGAGGAAACTGGTGCAGGTGCAGAGCCCAAACAGGAAGGGAACTAGGAAGCGAGTCCTGAAATCGGGGATTTGGGCTTTCTGAAACGTCATGGCTGGAATATCGGTGTGGGGACCAAGTGTTTCTGTGGCAGCGCTCGGGAAGAGAAGGAGGAGGCATGGTGGGCTTCTCGGAAGAGAATGGGTAGACACGAGACCACAGAACTGGGGATGGGAGCCGGGCATCCTATGTAGGATGGGCTTGGCTGTTGGGAACTGACTGAAGGTGGGGAGGAGTTGAGGAAGAAACTGTGGGAAAACAGGCATAAAAACCCGGAGAGGACCCAGCAGTGGCAATGTGCTGAGTGAGGTCTAGAGGCAGACAGGCAGGCAGGCAGGCAGGCAGGCAGGCAGACAGGCAGGCAGGCAGGCAGGCAGGCAGGCAGGCAG